AAGGCGGGAGCGGAGATTGAACACCACGCGGTAAACTACTCGCATGTATCACCAGTAGTAAGCGTAGTTATGCTGGAAGACAAACACATTAGAAAAAGGATAAGTTTCGACAATGTCTTGGATCATAATCAACTGTTACTAAGTAAACCTGGATACGCTGGTGTAATGCATCCAAATTGGTGGCAGAACAGGTAGGATTTATGTCAGGGACCTTGAAAGTGCAAGCCATTTCCGTCACCTAGGTTACGGGGCGATTCAGACATCTTATTGCAGGAATCAATCCTTGCGGATCAGAAAATACTGGTCGTTAAGTTTGATTAATAAAACAAAGGCTGAAATGTTCTTCCGTAAGACCGCGGAAGTTGCATTGTGGCAAAAAACATCTGCCGTCTTCTACTGCTAATCCAGCAAATACGTCGTCATTTGAAGCCATGAGAGCATGAACTGTTGCAAATTATGCGAAGGGGGGTAGAGGAAAAACGTCCAATGCTCTAGGAGTGTCTGGTCATCATCAGAAACATACTGGAGTAAGACACCGTCTGGAGGTCGGCACAAGGTTAAAGCTGGCCTAACTTTCACTTGAAAAAAAGGGTTTTGGTTGCACAGGCAGATTGCTGTTGCCTCGGCTACACGTGAAAGACAAAAAGTCATACTGGAGTAAGACACCGTCTGGAGGTCAGCACAAGGTTAAAGCTGGCCTAATTTTCACTTGAAAAAAAGGGTGTTGGTTGCACAGGTAGATCGCTGTGGCCTCGGCTACATGTGAAAGACAAAAAGCTCTTCGTCATTACCTTCCGTCGGATGCGGGGCAGGAGTCAGAACACCAGAACACAGACTACTTTCATGCTTCATCAGTAGTATAAATTGTCACGCAGGTGTTAGCCAGAACCTCAGCGATAGTGAGGGAATGATACGCACCCGTTAAACGACGCAATCAATCCATCCTCACGTGATACTTGGCTGGTTCGATAACCCAGGAAGCGATGATACCAAGGTTAGATCCACAGTTTCCAAGAATCAGCGATACTGTCAGATAAACGCGTCAGGAAAGAAATTCAACAACAACAACTATTTTTTCAGTTGCTATTTTATCCCTGGAACTAACTGAATCATATGAGGAGGTGACAGATCATCGCCAAGGTAAGATGATACTGATGGAGCCTCAACTTAATAGCCAACGAGTATCTGGGGTGAATCGTACCTTATTTGAATTTTCTATGAACGATCCATCACATTTCTAAATCGGAATGAAATATAAGGTAACGAGGCACTTACACAAGAGAGCACAACACCTGAGATTGTTGAAAACTTTAAAACAGGTCGCGACCTGTCTCGATTTCATATGAATCCATACCTCGAATTCCCAGAAATTTTATTGCGCGAGAGGACGCCAAAGTGGACACTTAATATCGTGATACTTCAGTGTCCTTGAAATTGTAAAACCAGACGGAATCTATGGGGCATATCCATCTTAAGACCATTTCCAACATAATAATTTAGGAATCATTTGTGTCTCCTGCTAACAAAACCTTAATTTGCAAATGAGCTTTGCCCCCAAATATATTAAGTTTTATGCCAAGTATGAGAAAGAATCGACTGAAAGTTGAGAAGTAAGCATTTATCCTATGACGCGAATAGGCTGAAACCCACAATGGATTGTTCTGCTTTTCAGTCGGACTTGGGGGCAGTGTTAAACCCGAAAGCACTGAAACTATAAAGATACCGCTACTTACACCGTAAACAGTAGTGAGAACCAACATTCTTGCTTCCTGTCTGAATTTATTTGTTGTGATGTTAGTTTTCAGATGTTGAGGCGCGAGCAGCAGTTGCTGGTCACCCGGCAGTCTCTGAGGAATATACTCCAAGTATCTTTTGCAGAAGCTTGCCAAGCGTCCGGGGGCCGGTAGGAAACATCAAGTAGTGCAAAAGCAATTTCGAAGAAAACCAAGTTTTCCATGAATCCGGAAAAAGCCTCTGTCAGCATACGTCAGTTGTCATACCCATCAAAATGAGCGTCTTAATCGGCCAGTTATTTTCCAAATGATGAATACCTGTTTGAGATTTAGTGTCAGATTAATTCAATAAAATCCAGCTAAGTGAAGAGGTGTTTACTTGAACAGATTTATGGGCATCGAAGTTGATAATTTACCACTAGGATCTGCGTTTCCAATGCATACATTTCCAAAAGGAGTTATAGTATTCCCCAATCGAGGTATAAGTTCTGTGGTAAAAGTAAAGGAAGTCTAAAAACACTTGAAGTGATCTGAATATTTTCACGTATCATTATTTTAGATAAGAAGAACTTTAAAACAATTGGAGCGAGGCTACGTTTTTAGTGCTTATAACTAGTTTAGGTACCATGTTTCCCACTTCCAAAATCATAGATAGGGTTTTCGGACTGTTTGCTTGTCAACAGCGCACCAGTCAGCTACTCACTGTTGAGAGCTGTGGAATAAGTAGTATTTTCTCCGGATAGTTCGCGAGTAGTTAGTGTCTCTTGGAAATGGTTAACAAGAAAATTGTGCTTCCTCAACATAGCGAGATCATCTTTTCTTGGTTTTATTAATTAGAACTGCCGAAATTCCTCACGAGCTATTTCAAACTCCACCTTGCAAATCTGTTTTCGGCAATTTTAATTGTGCCTGCCAGGCGCCGATGAGGAGGACGCACAGACTTGAACTGAGTGGTGGTTGGTCGGATGTCGGATACAGATGGGCACCATCCTCATTTAGTACAAAAATCACGTGTTTACAAGTCGTCTGAGTTGAAAGATACTCTGTGCCGGGAGATGATGTTTGGTTCGTCATTACAATCTCTGATCTGCTCGTCAAGCAACAATGTAAATTCCCCCATTGCTTTGTTAGTGACTCACTTTGGGAGATACTGGCCCGTGGTTATTGACAAGCACATATACTACTGTCTAGACAAGATGGAATCCAGATCCTAGCGCATATAATAGGGCAGTGAAGCAGACATTCACTTAATAAATGGACTGAAAAAAGTGCAAGTTAATGCAATGATTTCGGAGAGGTTGGGTAAACGGTCGGTAGACTTATTGCTGGGTGACGTATCGCTTCTGACACAAAAGCTTCGTCAGGCCAAGTGAGTGTGTAAGTGGGGTGATTGGGTTTTAAGGCAGTCAGGGTCTAAAATTACAAAATCCAAATAGAGTTAGATTCAATTCACCACCCCCACCCCCATCCCCAAACCAGTTGTCCCGATAGCCTTTGACGAACACAGGTGAACGGAATCT